TGAATACAAAGGAAATGAGGTTGATTCGACTCATTGGAAGTAGCATGGTATGTCCAAGTATTAAATGTCTGAATTAGTGGAACTAAAGAATAGAGCTCATCTGAACATTTTGTAACATTGTGCGAATAGGACAGAAAAGAAAGAATGTAGGTTACGGAATAAGATGAAAGACTCTAACTAAAAACAGCCACAAGGTTTGCTGGAAATACATTGTGTTTCAGAAATACAATATATTTGACAGGTTAAGTTGATAGTCAAAAGTGGAAAAGTAAAGTAGTATGTGGCGGTACCTTTTCATTGGTCCGTGAATTGACGAATCAACGATTAGCAAAAAAAAAAAAAAAACCCCAAAAACCGAGATTTCATTGCAAAAGGAGTTGCACAGAAAAACAGGTTCTCCTTGATAAAAAAACCCCAAAAAAAACCCAAAAAATAATGCTCATTTGATTTTAAATAACAGAGACAGTGCGAATTTGTCTTATTTGCCTGAAGCCAACCATAGTCACATACTTTTGTATTCGGTTGCCGTGAGTAAATCTAGGTCAACCCTGCACCTTTTTTACTCTGATGGATTGGTGTGAAATTTGAGTGCAATATCTATTCCTTCCTAATACCTCAGTATTGTTTGCGGGTGCGGGACAATTAATACGATGAGTCGTAAAAATAATAATTCGTTCCGTTCTGAAACAAAGAAAGCAGCTATTGTATTTCTATATTTAAAAATAATCTAATATCGTATTTATGATGGTAGATTGATTTTTAATATCTGACCTTGTAAGTTATATATGACGGCCATCCTGATGCTAGTTTTAAATGAGGTAAGTAATCAAGAATCACTGAGAAAATCTGATGTAAATCGTAAGTGCTAGATAAAGTCATGTTGCAATTCATCAGCGGGCAAAATAAAAAAGTGCGACATTAATATTAAACTAATTTATTTACATTTTTATACAAATGCGGTTTCGGCGACTGCAAAATATGTTCTGAATGTTGAATTGCTCATTCGTAATATCTGTGTGTGTTTGTGTGAAAGAGTTAGATACAGATAAAGGAATATAATTATAAATTTAAGTAGCTTTGAAATAAAGCTATAGAATGTTGTGGTTGTGCTGTTTTGGTCACTATTGATACGAATACTTTGAAACAGGTTCAGCGTTTGTCTAGTACTACGTCAGAATCTGGAATCACGTGATTTGGGATTTTTTACGAATATGAACTTATGTTCACCGTCTGTAAATTTTGACGCCTTTGTCAGAATCCTTTTTTTTATCATAATATTTGTAACTAACACACATACACACACTTTACACCTATTCGTATCATCTTCTTCATAAATTTACTTCGCAGACGTGAGTCTGGTTACAACATTTCTAACTACATCGATTTATAAGTACGAAACACGTAGTTACTTTCACCTTTGTGTCCCACTTCCATCTTTGAGGCATGTTATTCTCTGTGATGAATTTTGAAAAAGGAGGAAGGTAAGTTTTAATGGAGACAAATTATTTTAAATAACGTCTGTCGAAAATAATCGTACAGCATACAAGTCCAAAGCCCAAAGAAAAAAAACCCGATACGAGTAATCAACTGACTAAAAAGTGCTCAATACAAAAGTAGAGCAGACCTATGCAAATTGCAAGAAAATTATATATATATATATATATATATATATATATATATATATATATATATATATATATATATATCTGTAGAGAGAGTTTTAAAACAAAATTATTCGGAGGAAGGGAATTTAGATATTGAATAAACATGAAAAAACATTTCAAATCTTGTACAAAACAAAAATATAATAATTATGATTAGAATTAAAAGAATTCAAAGACTAGGTATATTTGCGTAAAAAATGATAAAATGGCACTAAATATTAGTCTCTAAAGTTTATAAAATTCCTTTTTTAGAGACATAACTCGTAAAGAGAAAACAGTTGGTTTGATTGCACTGCGGTGATTATCATGCATTGTCGGCCATGATGCAAGTTCGGTGGGGGTCTATTCAGAAGTATAAAAGGAAAGAACATAAATCCTCTTCATTTTTCTCTTTTCTTGGTCCGAGATGTAGTAACAACACGACACTCTACGCATTCGGGAATACATTCCCCGGGCAGCTGACTACTTAATTCCAACCCAACTACTTGGTATGCAGACAAACATACGACGCTAATCCCATGAATGTTTAGCGTTCCTTTTTTTTAGCTATCTGTATACATGTAAATATCATTTAACTCTTTCTCTTCTTTTGTGAGACATGTTGTTCATAATGATGAATCCATTTATTTTGAAGAAAGCAATCCCATTCGTTAGGAAATAGTGCTGTCCGCTACAGTTCTTGCTATTTGCATATTATTACAGAATTTCTTTTTCTAACTATCCTTGCATGCTTACTATTCTCATTAGCATTCGTTCCTTTCTAAACAGAACGACCAACTGAAATCTACACTGACTAACCTTTTAAAACCGATCCGTTACATAATTATCTTTTATTCATTTAAAATTCTTTATCATTTTTTAACTGAATTTATTACTTTTGACATTTAAATCTTGGCATTTCTCTTTTTCTGTTAATTCCTAAGCCGTTTATTTGAGGCATATACTGCGTTTTCGGTGTTTAGACCTCAAGGTTGACCGCAGTCGGGAACTCTGAGTCATTTTAATTTCCACGACCCTTTCATTAGCTGCATAGTATGCGTTTCGTCAGGGCTACATACCATTTTGAATTCAGAGTTGTCTCGATTAGTTCGAGAAAGAGTTTGTTTTTTAAATCATATGGTGTGTCTACTACTACGTCCGAGACTGGAAGCATATGATATGGGATTTTTTTATGACCATGAACTTATGTTTACTGCCTGTAAAATTTGACGTCTTTGTCAGAATACCTTTTTATCACAAAATTTGTAACTCACAGACTCTAGTTCTTGACTGATTGCCAACTAAGGCTGAAGATCCCATTCTGCTCTACTATTTACTCATAATTGGCGGCTTAGAATTCAGAGCTGTCCTTCTGTTCCACTCGTTGTCACCCAAGGCTATTGGGTATAGTCTACCCTTCTATTTATTCATAGATGGATTCATTCCTTTCCCAATGTTATATGGACATAAGTGAATGGTCTTCAATCCGGGCCGTTATCCATTACTCCACTGTGCCTCCAAAGATAAATTAAACCATTATTTTAAAGCCTCAATTATAGAAAAAATAATATGGTCGTGACTGAAACATTTTGGTAAATAAAATGTATCCTGGCACTTTAAAAATTAGCATATATTGCTTTAAACGCAAAAGAATTCAAACATCGAATTAACAAAATACCGTTGTTTATTTTTCGAACTAAACTCTGCATGCCTATAATATATATACACATGTCATATATATATGAGCCTGGTCATTTCTGAGATGGTGACCGCTTGGGAATACCAGGTCTTGTAATATTGGATGTGCGATGGTGTCATGATAATGACTCGGAATTGTTAATCGGAGAGCCGAGTTCCAATTCCAGTTGGGTTCGTTATATTCACTTGGGAATGATATGAATTCCACCAGCTATGGATTATTTAGTAAGATTTGTATCAGTAAATCCTTATTATGTCCAAAAGAAAAATTACAATATAAAAATATTGTCTGGATTTAAATAACCTGCAAAGGATTGATAAACCGTAAAAAATGTATCAGTCAAGCATATCTTAACATCAATTTTAGTAGTAAAATGTCTGTCTTATACTCATAACACCAAGTAATCCTCCAATATAAATGTTTTAATCTATATTGACAATAAAACGTGTTCTTTGTTTGATATTTGCATGTTGGGTTATTACTCGGTGTAAATATGAATGCTTATGAAGATGGCGGACATGGCATGAAAGTGCGATCAGTGAAACATTCAACAAATAAAGCAGCCATTTTTTTAAATGTGCCAAAAATAGTTCGCACCGATCCAACGCAAGCCTGATGGAGGTGTAGGGGGAGGAATTTGAACAAATATAAAAGTAAATTTTAAATAGGAATCTTTTGCAATTCTCTTTCAGCATCATTTATAGATACAGGTGTTACTTGCTTTCCAAAATTAGGGCCTTTCTATTAAGTATTTCGTAAATGGTATAAATTGAAGATAACTAACTCGTTGGTGGTAAATTTACCTGATTTAATGTTTTGACTGTTACTACCTGGTAGATAAGTAAATTTTTAACTTTCCGTTAGTACTGTGGGGCATTGTCATAGCATCAATGCGACATATTCAGTCATTTAATCTTTTGAACAGTGAAGTCTTTCTTTGGAAGATGTTTTAGAATTACTAACAGTACAGCAAAACATATACCACTATTTTTTCGCCTCTTCACTTAGAAGAAATAGTACACAAATTAACTAGTTCATCTCTAAACCCAAAGAGCAGAACATTCCGAATTGTAACTTAACCTTCCATAAACCCAATAATCTCTTTTTCCTCATTTTTTCTATGATACCCACGTAATCAAGTGGACGGTAAATGAATTTATCTGAACCTCGAGCGACCGGCGGTTTTATCACTACCAACTGCATCGCCAGTAAAATTGATATGTGTGAGTTTCAAAGCAATCAACCACTTTCGAAATCAAGTGACACTTGGCTGGAAGGTAGGGAATTCTGGTCATAAATTCACATAATTAGGTCATGTTCTTGATAAGGGTTGAGTCACGGTTAGGCGTAAGAGGTGAGGTAGTGGTAGGAAAGGCGGAGTTTTATTGGACGAAGGGAACATCTGTCGTGAAAGAAGTAACTATGAATATGTCCCAGATATTATTTACCTAACCTTAGTCAGTGCTAGGTGAACTGATCCATGAATAAAGAACTTTGTTTATCAGAACCGGGAGACTTGTTTTCTCTGCAAAACGATATCAACAGAATGTGGTGTTCGAGATCCTTCTCCCAGTGTGCGACCGCACCTTCAGTGTTTACTTATTTATTATTTTTGAAAGTTTACCGGATCTTCCCCAGTCTTGTTCGAATTGACACAAATGGAAATCGAAACATCCCGTGGGGTGGAAGCTGACAAGCCAGTAAAAGATTGTCTGAATGACCCTGCCGTATGTCCACATTACCGTGAGGGTTTCAAACGCTACATTTAAAATATTATAGATTATATCATTTAGTTCTTAATTCTCTTGTTATATGTTACCTTGAGTATTTAAATCTATCCATCTTTCTATCTTCTACTGTTCATATCTATCCGTCAATCTCTCTCTAGCCTTTACTGTTCATATCTATCTATCTTCAACTGTTCATATCTATCTATCTATCTCGCTATCTTCAACTGTTCATATCTATCTATCTATCTCGCTATCTTCAACTGTTCATATCTATCTATCTATCTATCTCGCTATCTTCAACTGTTCATATCTATCTATCTATCTATCTCGCTATCTTCAACTGTTCATATCTATCTATCTATCTATCTCGCTATCTTCAACTGTTCATATCTATCTATCTATCTCGCTATCTTCAACTGTTCATATCTATCTATCTATCTCGCTATCTTCAACTGTTCATATCTATCTATCTATCTATCTATCTATCTATCTTCAACTGTTCATATCTATCTATCTATCTGTCTATCTCGCTATCTTCAACTGTTCATATCTATCTATCTATCTGTCTATCTTTATCTTCAACTGTTCATATCTATCTATCTATCTGTCTATCTCGCTATCTTCAACTGTTCATATCTATCTATCTATCTGTCTATCTCGCTATCTTCAACTGTTCATATCTATCTATCTATCTGTCTATCTCGCTATCTTCAACTGTTCATATCTATCTATCTATTGTTTATATTTATCTGCCTTCTGCTGTTCATATGTATCTTCTACGACACCTTTAAAATATTATAGATTATATCATTTTGTTCTTAATTTTCTTGTTATATATTGCCTTGAGTGTGTATACTGGTTTTACAGGGAAAATAAAAATGAAAATAAAAAGAACGAAAGGTTTAATTATTTTTGAAACATCGAGTTAAAGGACCAGTATTAAAAATGAATTTGTAAGTTTCAAAAGTTCAGATGCAAAAATAGATTTCCCTTTATTTTGAGTAAAGAAATAAAACTTTTTGGAATTCACAGAAATATTATTGCTAAAACCAGAAACTCCTTGGAGTTACTTGATAGCCGTATGAAGAAATCTACTTGACTAATCATGAAGATTTCACTTGCTATTTGGTAAATATTAAGGAAAATATTTTGTGGGATAACCAAACATACTATAGTACTAACGGGGGTTAACGGAAAAGAGATTTAAATGTGTGTACGTGCGTGTTATCACACTTGGCTTTGTCAAAACGTCTGTTAGGAGGCGCTCTTTAAGTCTATAAGAAGGCAATGGTATTTTTTCTATGTCTCTTTTTACCTCTTTTTAACTCTTGTTGCCACATGTAGTCGACGTCGATAAATAACAATGCCGACGAGGCACTTTCGCTTCCTTGGTCCTTTGTTGACTTTCGTATTCTCTCACATACGCCTATGCAGCACACGCGTCTCTATCACACAAGATTGTAGAGGCCCGTTAGTTGATATGACCTCCAAATTTATATTTGACGCAAAATACCACAAAATATTAAACAACAAGAATAAACACAAAACAGTTTTATAACAAGATTAATATTTATATTTGTATAAGGATGTACAAGCATCGGGGTTACTATTTTTATTGGTGTTATGTCCCTTTGACTGAATTAAAGATTTTACTAATGAAATTTTTTTTACCTGAGCTCATAAAAAATTGAATGAACTTGTCGCTCAAAATGTTCACTGTGAGAGAGTTGAAAGAATTCAGTAAAGATGAAAATACGTTGAGTAAACTTTTAGCTTTAGAAGAGTTGAAGGAGTGAATGTTCCGTAATGCTTGTAATTAAGTTTCCATTGCTTGTAATGTTTGTAATTAAGTTTAGAAAGTTACATATGTACGTGCATGTGTGAATATGTTTTCATGGCGTCCGACCGCAAGGGGTCGAGACGCGATCTCTTTTTTACAACCACATTTTTGTAGCGAGAGAAATCAAAGGAGAGAGAGAGAACGAACTCGTGTCTGGTATTTATAATCAACAAGGCTCGAAAGACATTGACAGATTTTGGGCGGAATTATTTTTTAGTCAGATCAAGAACTAGGTCGATGTTATTCAGATGTAGTTGAGAACATGACTTAAATACTAAGTGACCAATCAGAAGAGATTTTCTGAAAATATTTATGAAGCTGATTTTTACACAGATTTGCACAAAAATTGAGATTGATAAAAAAAGTGGTAGCGGGATGCTAAACGATTGTTTCACTGACTCACACATTCTTTTTATACCTAGTTTTAATAGATTTTCTTCCATTACAATTGTGTAATTCCTTTTGTTAATAATATGCATTGTCGTTTGTTTTATATTCATTGTTTTTGATCTTACTTTTACCCAGACCCACACATTGAATCAGTCAATATTGTTTACGGCATAAATGTTCCAGGAGCCCATAGATATGTAATATAAAATGTCTATACACATCAGAACTAAACAGAAGATATCCGCAGCATAATGGTGACTTATTTCTACCCAAACATCATCCAGAAACGTACATATTTGTTGTATTGATTCTTTTTTAATTTGGTGTTATTTTTTATTTATTGTCTGAACTGACTAGTTTTGAATTCGGTAAGCATGTTACCTCAAACTCTAACCATCTTTGCCATTATTGTTTGCAAGTGAATGAACGGATAGACAAACATCACTAGAAATAAAACATCGCCTTTTCACTTTGGTACAGAACAGTGATAATGAAACACAAAAATAATTTTTTAAAGAAGGCACAAAACTGTAAAGTTACAAACAAAATGGCGACGGTGATCGACTGCAATAAACAAAGTAATAATAATAACAACACTAAAAGTCGTCTTAGTGCAAAAGACGTGGCATCGGCTGATTACCCAAGTGAGTGCAGTCAGAAGGATCAGACTAGAAACAAGAAAAATATTTTAATAATTAAACTGGAACGATACATCCACTAATTACAGACATGTCACCAAGAATTAACACACGAAAGAAAGAAAAAATAGCGAGACAAAAATTTAACCCTAAAGTCACAGCTCAATTACAATCCTAAAGTCACATCTCAATTACAAAAAACGAAACAAAACGTGTAAATGTTTTAAATTTAAAACATGCATATTAGATTTCTGTTCAAAAGCATTTGAAACTCATACATTTATTTCTACCGCAATAATTCAATCTGTTCATACATCAATCAGCTGAAACCTTTGCTAACCGGTTTATATCTATTCCAGTCGGTTCATATCTATCGACACCCTCTCCCACTGTTCATATCTATCCATATATCTCTTTTCTATAATTCATATCTATTTATCTATTACTGTTCATATATATGTATCTACGACTGTTCATATTTATATATCTATTAATCTTCTGTTTATATTTATCTATATATCTATTTATCTTATACTATTCATATCTATCTATAAAACTCGCCATCTTCTACCCTTCATATCGATCTTCTACTTTTCATATTTATCGATCTTCTACTGCTTATATCTGTCTTCTACTGTTCATATCTCGCAATCTGAGCCAGTCTATATATACCCCTTAGATATGATTTTCGTATTGTTCTGTTTGTGTTACAGATGGTTAACAAAGGAAATATTCAAATGCTACTTCTTAATATTCCACAGCCTCTACTCGTATATGATAGGAGTCACCGTGCAACCGTTCTACTCGAATCCGACGTTATGGTTGAGATTATAATAGAAAACTGTAATCATTGTGCAATATATATATAACGATGGTTATGTAGAGAGATTTGTGATTGATATATATATATATATATATATATATATATTAATGTATATTTGGGAAGCAACCTATCTTTTAAGCATCTTTCATTAAATATGGCAGACAAAGAAAATTTCATTTAATATTTATTTAGTTTTCCATGCGTCCTTACATTTCCCCGTTTGGTAGGAGTAAGGAAGTACAAAAGGTTTCCATAATTTTAATTGTCTCAAACGCTTTCGGCCACTTCTTCCGCCATTTTCAATAAATATAGTTTTAAGTTATGCTAGATTTATGGATAAAATTGCTCAATAACAGAGATAGAGCGTATGTATCGAACCAAACTGTGGCCGCTCAGTGTTGACCTCAGTATATATATATATATATATATCTTCGAGCATGTTTTGTTGAATAATCTGTACATGTCTTTTTATTTTAATCCTCTCGAATTCTCGGATCAACTTTTAATGTTGATATTAAATTCATTAAGGAAGGCTCCGTAGTTTTTATCATTTCTTTTATTTTCTCAAGTACTTTCAGTCTCATGCAAGATCATCATCAGGGGTGATCATCTTCAGCGGCACCTTTCTTAATGAATTTAATATCAACATTAACAAGTTGATCCGAGAATTCGAGAGGATTAAAATAAAAATAGACATGCTTGAATGAAAATATGCTGCATATATATTATATATCCCAGCTTCTCCTGCTTTTGATGTGCTGTAGGAGATTTAAGATATCCAAACATTCTTTCGTTGTTCCTAATACTGTCAGCTCTTTCTGATTTTAGCAACACTTTCTTTTCTCTCATAATATTCCTTAAAAAATTCTCATTCTGTTCATAGTATGTTCGATATTCGTCAGTTGAACCACAATCGCAGCCGCATACAGAGTTGGAAATATGCCAAGAATTCTATTTAGTGTTTGAAGGGATATCGCCTTTACAATAATTTTTTTAATCATTCCCCCCACCCCATGCAAGGCGAGAATGACAATAGTGTTCAGGAGGTTATAGGGAGCGAAAGTGAGAGAAAACCGAGTATAGGGAGGATTGAAGAAAGGACAAAAGATGAACGGCAATGAAGAAGAGAGAAGATGGCGATTGATGTTGCATTTAATTGTTTTTAAAATTGTAGTTATCAGGGAAGCAAGTAAAGAGAATGGAGTTCATAGGAGAGAAGTGCGAGAAAAGAAACAGTTGAAGTGGCGGTTGTATTTATCTATTTTAACAGGAAAAGGGTGGGATCTGTCTTCCAGTCTAGTAAAACGCTTAAATTTATGTAGTTGGGACACCAGGGAAAAAAAGCTCGTCTGCATATGAAAATATTTGTAGAAAAAACAAAGAGAAGTCATGTCACGTCGGTGAGAAAGTGACTGAAGTCAAGATGAAAGGTCAGGATCGATTATATTACATATACTTCTTTGGATTTTGTTCAAAATTCTTTTAGGTTTTTAGAGAAAATAAGCACAAATGAACTCCATACGTATTCATTAGTGTCAATGAATTAGTGGCCCACTTCTCTCAAGAAAAACCTGTGCCCGTGGCTTTATAACGAACAAAGGTTTTGGCGCTATATTTTTTACCCATATAGAATGAAAGTCCCGCTAAAACTTACAAGTGTCATACGAGACAGTTGAACACTGGAATGTGTAAGTAAAAATAACAAAGCTTGATATTGCACACAATGCAAAAACAGGACGAGGGCGATTATCGCCCTTCCCAACTTCTCTTTTGAAGCACAATAAGGTTTAACTTTCCGCTAGCTCTCCTAACCACTGTTGTACAATCCATTTAGACAAGCTCGCTTAGTAGGTTACACGTTGCTTTCTGTGCCCTCCTTGACTTCACTATGTCCTGTGAGTATCAGATTCTCCAGGCTCTCTTTCCTCATCATGTGTCCGATATAATTAACCTGTCCCGTTTTGATATTAATTATAAATGTCCTTTTTGTTTTCTTCAAAACTTACACGTTATTCACATTTTCAGTCCTTTGAATTCTCAGCAACCTTTTCAAAGAACCACATTTCTGTTACTTTAAGTCTGTTTTTCCTCTGCAATGACATTGTCCAGCAGACACTGTCACATTACAGGATCGATATTACGTAACAGGTAGGCAATCTTTTCTTTGTTTCTAACGGAATTTTCCGATTTCTTAATACTTTGATAAACATTTGGAAGGGATATTACACTATTTCTAATCGGACTTCGGATTTCAGTGTCACATTTTCCGTCTTCAGTTAGAATATTTCCCAGTTATTTCAATTTACGGCAACATCACGTTGAAAATCTACTTCCCGTATGATCACCGAAGTTAAGCAACATTGAGCTTGTTCAGTACATAGATAGGTGACCGCTTGGGAAATACCGGGTGTTATAATCTTGAATGTGGAGGTGGTTTAATGGATGATGACTTGAAATTGTTAATCGAAGATCTGAGTTTCAATTCCAGTCGGGTTCATTATATTCACTTACGAGCAAATATCCTTGGGAAAGGTATGGATTCATCTTTTCTCCCCCCAACTATAGGTTAATTAGTAGGAATTATATCACTATGACCATTATTATCCCCACCTCTCCACAAAAAAAAAATTGCGCACAAATATTTAGAAATTGGCATTGAATAATCCGTGGAGGTTGATATGCTGCCAAACAAAAAACAACTTGTTTAACTTTTCCTACTTGCTTGATTTCATCATCTCCAATCTGCGTCTAAGCATCACGGATTAAACGAACAACTAGTATTTCATATAACTATTTCCAACAGAAAAAAAAACAAGCACTTTGATTGCTTTGTATTAGATTTGTTCTTTTTATATGCAAACGTAAGACGCTTTTATTTTTTTTTTGATTTATTGTAAAGTTTATTTAAATCAAATTTCTGTTAAAAATGTTTGAAAATTATTTATTTAATGACGTTTTTTTCTGACAGCTTTCACAGAATTTCCATTATTCTGTCAAAACAATTTTTCTTTACATCAGATTCAACTTCAGATGATTATTACAAAATGGATTTTGTGCAGAAGTTATGTCATTTGTTGGTATGACTGTGAACTGGGGCGGTTGTTTAATGTACGAATGAATTTTACAGTTGATTAAAAATATAAATCCCTTTGCAATGTGGAGTCACCCAGTTTTATTTGTTCTATCATACAAAACCCAGATATCTTCAGAATCGAAATGATTTTACTCATGAACGCCAGCTTAACTCAAATCTCTCTTTGTCATTCAATTCGAAATGTTATTTCAAACATATTTCACTTTTAAACCGAATAAATTGCGGTTTCGCTTATAGTTTATTTAGACTATAAAGACAAATAATTAAAATCAAGGCTTACACTCTGCTGTCTGCTTGCTTCAACCAAATTTCTCAAGCTTAGACAATATAAGCACAATCTTCCTGAGAATTAAAAAAAAAACAAAACAAAAAAACAGTCATGATTCGCGATAGATATTCTGTATGTTATAGAGAAGCGTATGGTTGCAAGAAAGAAATACGACAACAGTAGAAATAGATTTACGTGATTTATTTCAATAGGAACGTGTGGGTTTGGAACAGCTACCTTGTGGTAAAGTTTATAAGCCGGCTTCGGATCTGGGTTGATCTCTTATAGTAGTTTTCGCTGGTTGGCGTGGCGCTACTGCTGCTGGCTGCTGCTGACCGCTGCTGGCTGCTGCTAACCGCTCAGCCTGACCGTGACAGGCCTCTTCCCTGGCCTCCTGTTGACCGCCTTTGTACTTCCGTGTGACCCCTTTTATGGCGTTTTATTATGGCTTAACAGGCTCGAAAAACGACGCGAGTATAATTAGGAGGGAAGCATTTTTATTGGTCGAAAAATAGAAACACTTTAAAATATTTTATTTTTCGACCGGAACTCGTGCGTCGGGAACATGCGTAAACGAAGATAATGGTCATTTTGTGACGGGGCCTTGTCCCGTTCACATCCGGCTCTCGCTCTTGAGTATGTTAGTTTATTTGCCTGTAAATCAGCCGAGATATGTCTTATTTAATTTATAACATGTATTACGGGTGAATTACCATTCCTTCTGTGGCAAGATTTTGTCTTCTCCTCTTTGACTGATTATCAACTAAAGATATGGAGGTCAGTCAGTCTGTCCTGCTATTTAATCTATAGCTAGGGGAGAAGAGACGAATTCAAAACTTTCCAAAGGACTTCTTCCGCAACTGTTTATATTAATTTCTTAAAATATTTTCCAGATTGAATTAAATCTTTGACTGATACTTTACGCTATTTTCAATTAATGGTGCGCTCGCATACATATATAGTGTGTGTGTTTGTGCTTATAGAGCTGAAAGAAACCATTTCTAGAGCCTATCCAGAAGGTATAACAATATAATAATATTCCAAATTTAATAACATATCTTGCGTGTAACGATTTCAAAGTTATTTCAATAATTCACAAAAAAAAAAAAAAAAAAATCAGATGAAGACACAAAAATGTCAAGAGTAGATGCGATATTTGAAAAAAGGATGTAATTGACCTAACACGAAAAAAAATATCCATATAGTCACAAAATTAGCAACAGGCGTTTTTGGATAATGACTTATGAAAGGCGAAATTAATCAGACATAATTTTTATACCGACCTAGTATAAACAGAAAATGGACACAAAATAAACTTATACTTCATCTCCCATATATATATATATATATATATATATATATATATATATATATATATATATATATATATATACACACACAAAAATGAAAGACAACGTAGTGACGAAAGCTACTGTGTAGCGATTTCAACATCCTGTTGTTCTAATATCTAGAATAATAATAACAATAATAATAATAATATACATATATATATTTATATGTGTGTGTGTGTTTGTAACCGTAGGTTCCATATAATCGCACTCAAAAATAAAATCTAAAATGAGTTTAAAAAATTTACGAATGTAAAAAACAGAAAAAAAAAGAGAATTTCTAATTACTCGTTGGTTTGGCTAAATAAAAATTCCTTATAGTTTCTAAAAATTCATATGAAAAAAAAAACCCTCCCCATTACTACTACCGACAAGCGAATAAATTCTCTATCAATGTTTTTGATAATCCTTGATGCTAAGTTTGATTATAGCAACGCTATACCCGACTCAAGGAATAAAAAGAAATGCTCAGGAAAAAAAGGGATAGGAAGAAAGATCCTTTCATTGATTTACCACTAATCGAAAAAGCGATATTTGAAACATGGGATAATTTGAAAAATAGTTTCGTGTACCTGTCGACGCAAATAAAAGCAAGACCGCCGGTCAGTTAAATTGCTAGTCATTCAGAGACGACTGAAAGGATAGTCAGGACAGATGGGATTGCAAATTAGTTTCAGCATGGGGCGAAGAGGACTTTAGTCCCTGAGAAACTACGTGACCAACTACTCTGGGTAACATACGAAATTTAATGCAGATAATTTTTGGAGTGGTGAAACAAACCCATCAAATTTTCCTCGATGATACAAGAGAACTCGTTCGTTGCTGCCATAATTTTAAAAATCTCTACTATTTTAACAAGTTTACACCAAAGACTTTCTCTCAACAACAGACAATTCTGCTACTACATTTTATCGACACGGACAGATCAGGACATTAGCAAAATCTTGTGAACTTTGTCCGTCTTTCTCTACCAAGGACATTTTTTATCCTTATCAATTAATGTAAGCCTCCACTTTCTCATGAAATTCTTCTCTACTTAGATAATTTTTATTGGAAGCACAGTTTTAAGCAAGATTTCTACAGAATCAAAACTGAAAACTCAAGGCATGTTCTTAAAATTTCATATGGATGTCATTTATAGCACTAAACCCGTTCAGAAATATCTAGACTGTCTGCTGTATACAATCACTTTGTAATATTTATGGTTAAAAATGGCTCTGAGTGAGTGGAGCCTATGGGTCTTAGTGAATACCACTCTTATTTGAACCTAGTTGACAAGCAATACAATACCACGGACAAATGACTGTAGCAATTACATAAACCATATCACTTGAGGAATTTCAATAGCAGTAACAACTAAAATGGATAACATGTAAAAATAATAACATTATCAAGATGCTGAAATTCCATACTACGTCAAATAAAAGGTAAGGACGGATACACCCATCAATACCGGAAAGAGCGATAAAGCTACTGGACTTAGAAACCTATTTTTCGGAAACATTTTTTGTATAAAATATTTTATAAATTTCAAGCGTGAGAAGTAAGTTTTGTGGCTGTTTATAATACGGTTTAAAATGGCTATGTCAAGTGGTAACGGAATTATCAGGGTCTCGAACCGTTTTTAATTGTTGGCATCTATTGTAGTAGCCACATTTGTAAACCTATATCTTTTTCACAGCTCTACAAATAAATGTAAAATGCATCACACTGAGAATGTTTTTATTGCTATATTGAAAAATAAATAACATGGAATGAACACTCGAGGCAATACGCAAAGTGAGTGCCCGAGGCAATGCGTAAAGCGCCGCAAGACGCAAATATGCGTTATGTGGCAATAAACACATTAAGCTTTCAAATTAAGGATCAGATGAAAAAAAGAATTTAGTTAATGTTTCTTAATGACGCATCAATAAGGAAATTTACGAATGAAACGGCCATCTTTTATGCAAAGCGGGTGCGTCCAGATCGAGGGCGAAGGTATACTAAGATATTTAGGTCGAACTATTGCCAAATTTTATACCAATAGGTTCAGCGAAATTGAATATGTTTGGTTATATACGACGCCAAAAGGAACACTAGCGTTAAATAGCAATTATTTTGTTAACTCGAACAGAAATGTATTGGGTTCTCCAAAAGGTTCGTTCGGTTTATTAACTAAATGTTCTATTTAATAAAGCGATCGAAATTTTTGGCCATCCCATGAGATAACGGAATGCAAGTATTTAGATGTTCAATGTGAACGTGTTCATTGCAAGCCCGAACATTTGTATGCGATATACGAATGTACATATAAATGCTCATACGCTGACAAAGATACTCTCATGAAATGATGACTTTCTAAGCGCAGCTTAGATATGGGACAAGACCGAATGTATGGTGATCCCAGTGAGGATCAAACTCACGACTAGGTCGTAACTGTTTTAGCGAGACAAGTTTGCTAACTATTACACCACGCCGAGGTACCCTGATGCTGTCATGGAATGTAATCAAATGAGGTTTATTTTTCAACATAGTCTCCGTTGCGGTCTAAACACTTTTTCCATCGATGTTGCAATGCTTGAATCCCATTGGTGCAAAAGCTTTCACTCTGTTAGTCAAAAATGTCATCAACAGCAGATATTACCTCATTATCACTGCGATAGGGGAACCTAGTCAAGTGATTTTTCATGTTGGGAAACAGGGGCCAAATCAGGGAAATA